CACCGCGATCCCAACCGTCTGTTATCAGCATGCAGGCAGGGAGGAGAAATCAGCGGAGCTGCCTGCACTGAGTGTGTGTGTGAGGAATCCCGTGGATTGGTCAATTTGGACCAATCAGCGGGGGCTTAACGTAACGGCTCCGCGGATGTAACGTAACGGCTCCACGGATTGGTCCATTTGGTTCCGGGTACCGCATGACCGTATCGCGCCATAGCTCTGGGCGTGGCTACTGGGTATCCAGACGTCACGATGCCCAGGAAGAACATGAGAAATCTCCAACGAGGCGTTTTGGGGAGGTCTTTTCTGTGTTAAGAGTTTTACTCCCTACAGGGTGTACTTTAAGACACTCCTCTTAACCTGTTAACCTGTTTAGCCCTGAGCCTGTTTTTCAGGTCTCAGGCTCGAAAATGACAATCCCAGAACAAATGACCATATCTTCCCTTCTAAAAGGGTTAAATTAATAATCTTTTTTCTCAAAGTAATGATAAACCTGTGAGTTGGATGTAGAAAAGTCAGAATCAATATAGATGTTTTTTATTTTAAAGAAAATTCAGATTGAAGATAGTAAAAAAACTGTAAATTATAGTGTCCGTCCAAAGATTATTTTTTACTTATAGTGAAAACTACACTTGGATGATGGTAAGGTGGACTAAAAGCTTTAGGAATCCAAAGTACAACATATAATAAGTACCCTGTATCAAGATTGATGCAAACCAAGTGACATTTGACCTTTTTAGAGGGGTTTAGCAAAAAAAACTCCACCTCAGAGGTGATTTGGGTGGAAATGGCCGTTTTTACCGTTTCTCTGGAACCCATTGGTCGATTTGGTGATTGACATCTCTTTCTGACCGTTAGAGCCAAAAGAATCGAAGGGGAATTTCCACATACACCTTACCATTGAGAAATGATTGCTATGCGCACACAGTTTTGCATCAGAGCGAACCTATCTCTCGCTCTGACATCTGGAAACGGAAAGGCAGGTTTATTGCTTATGGATTATCAGAAATCATTTCAAAGGGACACAGACACATTGGATTAACCTATGGATTAACTTCAGCAGCGTTTTTATCGTTTTAAATGCCATTGAAGACCACTTTTGACCAGACAACAACGCAGGTGAGCCATACTAGCGTTTTTAGCTAACTAGCGCCACATGTTTTGATGTCTGTTCTTGTTAATATTGTCACGAGTTCTTATCATGGAGTGAAAATGTAGGTACCGATTGATTCTGTGTCTTCTCATGATGCGAATCGATGGGTTGGATGTGCAGTTAAGATAAGTAATAAGGGTGTTATGAGTTAGTTGCTGTGCAGTAATGCGTTTGAATTAGCCACGAGCGAAAAAATGCTGAGGCAAAGCGTTAGAAAATGATCAGTTAACTGAGTTTCTTCCCGTTAGATGGATATAAAACATTCATAGTTTATTGAATATTAAGATGCCTTCAGACGCTGTTTTTCCCCCCGGTATCGGGGGGGCGGTGTAGAACAGGTTAAGCTAAGCTAACTAGCAGGAAAAAATGTGGATACTTTATGTGTAAGGCAAGTTGGTTTATAAAATGATGATGTATTTGTGTAGGCCAACGCAGAGGTTAGCATCACAAGGGCTCATCGCGAAAAGCAACCATTGGATTTCAGTATATTGCAAATCTGCGACAAACACACGTATATGATACTTATACGTTTTGTCCAGCAGGATCATCTCCACATGTTAACACCACTTTGTGTTTTTTTAAGTATGAATGCAATCACAGAAGTCAAAAGCTAACGGCTATAAAACAAATACATCACGGTCACATGACCTCACGTCACCACCGCTAAGCTAAAGGTGGCTAATGTTCGGTGTGATGATGTTTAGTCGTTTCATTGTGTCACTTGTTAGCAACCAACGTTTTGAGACAGTGATTCGGACATTCACCAGTGGGGAATTTACTGGCGTATTCTATGTCGCAGAACAAAACGTGAAAATATCTTCAGCTTGTGTTAACCACAGACCTTTTTTTTCAGGCGTCTAACCAAAAACACGTTAAAATAAAGAAGGACTTCGAAACCAGGGAACAAAGTGTTAAATTGATTTAGGACTCATTCCTGCACCACTAGTCAAGATGAATGAAATCGTGCCTCGGTGATACGAGAGATCATATCAGGACGCTGGTGCATCGTGTTTTTTTATCAAGGGAATACAAAGTAAAGTGAGGAGAGAGCTTCGATCAGAGATAGCAAAGACATGAATTAATGGCTTTATGAGATAATAACAATATTGCTGCATTAGTGACCATGGTAACCTCCCCATTAGTAATAAAGTCAATTAGCCTATACATCTAGAGAAATTATGCAGAGTAAAATAATTAGCATTAAGAAGACATGATGTTGTTGACGAGTATTTTGATATGATGTGGATTTCAATTGCAGACAGTCTGCATATCAAAGATGGATTAGGAGTATATTTAATTAGCTTGCTTCTCTGTGAGCACAGGAGTGTTATGTTCCACAGAGCCCACACACACACACACACACACACACACACACACACACACACACAGTGAAGCTCACACACATATACATAAACACACACACCATGTCCAAAACACTGAAGAAGAAGAAGCACTGGTCCTCCAAGGTGCAAGAATGCAGCGTCTCGTGGGGGGGTGAGGGAGGGGAGGTGCGCGTGCACGGGGGCGCGGAATTGGGGGAGTTCCCGCACCTCGCGCACACCGTCCCCGAGGAGGAGGGGGCGCTGCTCGTGCACGCGGGCAGGGCTCCGTGCGCGGGGGACGTGCTGCTGGAGGTGAACGGCACCCCGGTGAGCGGACTCACACACCGGGACACTCTGGCCGTGATCCGGCACTTCCGGGAGCCCGTCAGACTCAAGACCGTCAGACCAGGTGTGTAACACACACACACACCCCACACGGACACACACACACGTCTGTAGGACAGGTGAGGCTGGTCTCATGAATATGTAATGATGGATCCTGGGTAGAAGGAACAGGTGTGTGTGTGTGTGTGTAAGCCACTCCACAGGTGAACAGTGTGTGTTTCAGCATTGACACACCTGTATTATGTTTCTGTACGCCTCCTCCTCTTCCTCATCTTCCTCCCCGTGGATCTCTATCAGTTCCCACAGAGCTTCCGAGAGGAACACACACACGTGTGTGTGTGTGTGTGTGTGTGTGTGTGTGTGTGTGTGTGTGG